GGAAAAACTGAAATTTGAAAAAAAAAAACCCCTTTTTTGTAGAGGGGGTGGGGTGGGTTGGTGAGGGTTGGGAAGGTTGAGAATGAGCTTTGGAAAATGTTTTCCCTTCTCTTGATAGGGAAAATATTTTCCTCCAATTGGAGGAAAATGAATTGATAAGGAAATTAAGCCAACCAAACATGGAAAAATTGGAAAACATTTTCCTTCATACCAAACATGTTTGACTCAAAAGAAGTTAAACTCTTTTTAAGCAAATCAATCAAATAGATGAAGGGGTAAATCCTAGTTAAAGATAATTAACTCTAGATCCGAGACGAATAATATGAGTAGAAAAACATAGCCGAGTATAAATATTGGGCGTGATTATAGCCGGATTTAATAACATAAATAAAGATGCATCGAATAACATTAAATGGCAATAAAATGTAGATAAAGGAAAAGATTCACCCGATCTTGAGTGAGTCGGATCTTCTTTCATTTGATAAAGATGAATGATAGACAAAATACAAGAACCATTAGACCCTTTTTGGATCTGATGAAGGTTTTGGATCACAGATCATCTTCTCTCTTTTGAGAGATATGTTTACATATTTTCTAGAAAGAGGGAGAGGGAGACAGAGAGAGAGCCCCCCCTTAAATGGGAAGTCCTCCCTCCTATTTATAAGAGGGGTATCCATAGAAAATCCTAGCAGAAGGTACAATTTAGAGAGAATATTCGGTAGAATATTCCTTTTGAGTATTCCAAAGCAAACTAGCAGTTTCATGACTGTCCGTCCTCGGCCTGTCCGACCTTGGCTTGTCCGACCTCGGCTTTATTGATGACAGTCCGACCTTGGCTTTATTGATAACGGTCCGACCTTGGCCGAACGACCTTGGCTTTATGTCTTCGCGTGCCGAATTTCTTTGGTCTAATTTTGACCCATACAGTTAGTCCCTCCGCTTATCGAGGTCGTCTCTTGGTCGAGCTCAGTGAGCGGACTTCATTAATTGAAGTTCGAGAAATTCGGATGGGGAGGTCGACTAGTATGGGTCGCAGTTGAGGATGCTGATGCCGATGCCGAGGGAGAATATCTTGAAGATGGTGGTGAAGAGAGTGGCGATGGTGACGCCGAGTGAAAAGATAGCTGTCTTTTTTGACCATTGATCCGGGTCGTATGTAATCTGTGACTATTTGCGCAGTGACTTTGTATAAATAAGAACTTTTCGTTGTTATTTGCCTTGTACTTTTCCATGTTTTCGCTTTTCGCGACTTTGGTGCGAGGTAGATTCCCGCATGGCGAGTCCCGGTCTTTCCTTCGCTTTATATTTTCTGACGGCACTTGGCCTTAGGGACATTTCGAATTCTCTTCGGCGAAGGCCCATGGCCTTAGAGGGTATTATTTTGATTTTGTCGGAATATTGACCCGTCATTGTTCGATCGAGGTCGAACTCTTCTTCTTTGGCGAAGGCCCTTGTCCATAAAGTCGATTCGGACGAGGCCGAAGGTTGTTTCGGACGAGGCCGAATGTTGGTCGAGGTCGAAGGTTGATTCGGACGAGGCCGAATGTTGATTCGGACGTGGCCGAATGTTGTTTAGGACGAGGCCGAACGTTGATTCGGACGAGGTCGAATGTCGGTTCGGATGAGGCCGAATTCTTCTATTTGGCGATGGCCCTTAGCCTTAAAGGGTGTTATTTCGACTTATCGAAATGTTAACCCGTCGTCGTTCGATCAAGGTCGAACTCTTCTTCTTTGGCGAAGGCCCTTGGCCTTAAAGGGTGTTATTTCGACTTATCGAAATGTTAACCCGTCGTCGTTCGATCGAGGTCGAACTCTTCTTTTTTGGCGAAGGCACTTAGCCTGAGTCCCAGTTCGAGCGAGTTCGAACTGTTAATCTTTGATGGCAAAGGCACTTAGCCTTAATCCCAGTTCGAGCGAGGTCGAACTGTTAATCTTTGATGGCGAAGGCATATAGCCTGAGTCCTAGTTCGAGCGAGGTCGAACTGTTAATCTTTAATGGCGAAGGCACATAGCCTGAGTCCCAGTTCGAACGAGGTCGAACTGTCAAACTTTGATGGCGAAGACACTTAGCCTGAGTCCCAGTTCGAGCAAGGTCGAACTGTTAATCTTTGATGGCGAAGGCACATAGCCTGAGTCCCAGTTCGNCAAGATACGTGGTAAATCATATTTATGAACAGAACATGGAACTAGAATTGAATTCTAAATCTAGAGGAAACTAAAATTTTAACTAGAAAATCCCCACAGACGGCGCCAAATTGTTTGACTCAAAAGAATTTAAACTCTTTTTAAGCAAATCAATCAAATAGATGAAGGGGTAAATCCTAGTTAAAGATAATTAACTCTAGATCCGAGACGAATAATATGAGTAGAAAAACATAGCCGAGTATAAAAATTGGGCGTGATTATAGCCAGATTTAATAACATAAAGAAAGATGCAACGAATAACATTAAATGGCAATAAAATGTAGATAAAGGAAAAGATTCACCCGATCTTGAGTGAGTCGGATCTTCTTTCATTTGATAAAGATGAATGATAATACAAGAACCATTGGACCCTTTTTGGATCTGATGAAGGTTTTGGATCACAGATCATCTTCTCTCTTTTGAGAGATGTGTTTACATATTTTCTAGAAAGAGGGAGAGGGAGACAGAGAGAGAGCCCCCCTTAAATGGGAAGTCCTTCCTCCTATTTATAAGAGGGGTATCCATAGAAAATCCTAGCAGAAGGTACAATTTAGAGAGAATATTCGGTTTATTATTCCTTTTGAGTATTCCAAAGCAAACTAGCAGTTTCATGACTGTCTGTCCTCGTCCTGTCCGACTTCGGCCTTATTGATGACGGTCCGTCCTTGATCTGTCCGACCCTGGCTTGTCCGACCTCGGCTTTATTGATGACGGTCCGACCTTGGCTTTATTGATGACGGTCCGACCTTGGCCGAACCGACCTTGGCTTTATGTCTTCGCGTGCCGAATTTCTTTGGTCTAATTTTGACCCATACAAAACACACCCTAAAAGTTGAAAAAATCTTCATTTCATTCTTTAGCTTTTTATCTATTCAAACTTATATAAACGGACAGAATACAAACTAACTAATAAAATATATTAACAACATTAAAATTTTTTACATACGATTAATGTATATAACTTAAATCCTATATAATTACCAATCTCCTCGACAATATGCAGTAAATCATATGCTTCCAAAGAAAATAATTGTACAATATTAGGGACCCCCAAGCACATGCGTCCTGTAATTATTCAAGAAACACGACATGATTCACAACATGATATATGAACTTAAGGTTAGATGAGAACAATAAAACCACGTTACAAAAAATCAAATGAAATGACATATTTAGTTCTAGAGTCGTATTTGTTCATGTTGCTTTCACAATGTTCAAAAGAGAAAAAGTCAATTTAAAAGTTAGAGAAATGTCATAAAAGATAATTCTTTTTTCCACAATCATTTGTTTGGGCACAATGGGTTTTGGTAAATAGTTGGAAAGGAACTTTTGGTAAGAAAACTTTCAATTTTGAGTTGTGTGTGCAATTTTCTAACCTAATGCACTTATCTCTCTCTTTTTTTTCTTTCTTTTTTTTAAATCATTTGACATTCGGAATCTACTGTCCTTGTCAATTTGAATTCTCGTTGGGTAAGCTCGCTAAGGAGGTAAAGCGCCAAGTGCTCCTAGCTCTTACCAAGAAAACTTAAACTCGAGACCCCCTGCACACCACTAACACTTATCTTTTTTTTTTTTTTTTAATCATTTGACGTTCGAAACTGATCATTGTCCTGATTAATCTGAATTCTTGTCGGGTAAGCCACTAAGGAGGTAAATGCCAAGTGCTTCCAACTCCCTACTAAGAAATTCTTCATTTCTAAAACTTAAACTCGAGATATCTTATCAAGACCGAAGAAATCTCAATCATCCCACACACTATGGTGGTCACTAGTTGTGAAAGTCAAATGCTCTCATTGTCCTGATTCATCTGAATTCTCGTCGGGTAAAACCGCTAGGGAGATAAACGCCAAATGCTTCCAACCCTTACTAAGAAATTCTTCATTTCCAAAACTTAAACTCGAGATATCTGATCAAGACTGAAGAAATCTCAATCATCCCACACACTATGGTGGTCACTAGTTGTGAAAGTCAAATGCTCTTATTTTATAGAGTTTATTACAAAGCTTGAAGATCAGTATCTTACTTGTTTAGATTTGTACTAGGTTGGTTGCTACCACAATCTTGTTTTATAATTGCATCAAGAATTTAATCTACACTAAGTTAGTAGCTACCACGTTCTGGTTTTATAATTGCATCAAGAATTTGTGAGGAGATTAGGCATAGTTGGCTTCCATTTCAACAAATGAAACTTATAAATCGCTTTCGGTATACGCGATTTATTGCATGTATAATAACGTCAATCTATTCTTTTTGTCATGTCGCATTCTAATAATTCGTTTTGTATGTCTATGGTATTCTCTAAAAAATAACACACCTGATACCACTGGAATTATCGAGCCAAAAGTGCAAATTTTGAGGAAAAAGAATTCTTACTACAGCAACCAAATAACAGTGTGTCCAAAAGCTGTTACCGAAGCCCGCTCAGTGCTCAGTTTGCTGACGAAACAAAGATAAAATCCAAGACATCTGGTGTTAATCTCTGGACAACTTTAGACTGCAACCTTATCTTAGATACCTCCTGTAATGTCCAAATTTGTTACAAAAGCCAGATCAGTACTGAATCTGCTGACATGATAAAGATGAACTCCCAAACATATCTCTAATTCTCTGCTCCAAACTAGCATACAAGAAACCAAGCTACATGACATGACAATAAGAGAGCACTATATCTGATGCAAGGTGCACTCCACACATTTCTTGTGGCAAATTGTAGCCTAAAATGAGAGGAACTAACAAGCAACAAGTCAACAACTATTATTACTACGCCTCAATTTCAAGTAAGTTGAGGCTTGCTTTATGAATTCTCATTTACCATGTCGCTTCATTTAAGCTCATCTCATACCAATATTATACAAATCAACAAACAACGACAACAACTCAGTAAAATCCCACAAGTGGGGTCATACAAATCAACAATAGAAATAAAAAGTACTAGAAATTCTCTATACTTTCTACCGGAGAAACTAACAAAGAAAAATTACTGAACCTAATCCTAAACATTTTACGTATATAAATCCTATAAAAAATAATAGTGCAGAGTTTTATCCCGTGTTGCACTTTTATTAAGAATGAAATGAAGTGCAAACTCTGATGCCACCACAAGAAAATTTGGCACAACACACACTTCTGTAGTTCTCTCTAATTGCATGCTCCCTTTTAAATTCATCACACAGTCTCTTTAACTTGGATTATATTTTCTGAAAGATCAGTCCAGGCCACCTCGATCAAGCATGTCTACCAAAGTCATCCTTCTTGGGAACCTTGGTGGCAACCTTAAAAACATTGCATCCTCAATCTGAATAGGCAGATGGGTGGCGACAATGACAATACCACCCTTTTTTCTGTGCTCTGCAATAATGTACTCGAGCAATTTCACACCTTCGTCATCCAATGCTACTGAAGGTTCATCAAGCAACCAAATAGGCCGATCAATTGCCAACAATCTGGCCAGTTGTACCCTTTTCCTTTGACCCATAGAAAGCATTCGTGCTTTATCGTTTACTAATCTTCCAAGCCCCATAAGCTGCAAAGCTGGCAGAGATCTTCCTTGCTTGCCTTCAAGAACTTCGAACCATTGAACATTATCAAGGACTGTGAACTTCTCTTTGATAGCGTCCTTAAGAGAGAGCCAGTTGAGCTGAAGTTTGTACTGTTGAAAAACACCTGAATCAGTGATATCATGACCATTCCAGAGTATCTCACCAGCTGATGGTTTCGAGAAACCAGCTAACATGCGCAAGAATGTCGATTTACCAGAGCCATTAGTGCCTGTTAGTACAAGTGCACCACCATCATGGAGGGAAACATTTACATTGCGCAGTATTTGTTGAGCATTTCTCATGCAAGACACATTGTTCAGCAGAAGTCGAGGAAGGGGAGGTCTACGCAAAGACATTGTCAAGTGAATGAAGGACACTGGATATAAAACTTCCTTGGTTGAGCATCCACAGAGAATAAAAAGAAACAAAAGGTTGCTGAAGCTCTTTCGAATCTTACAGGAGCTCAGAAGAAATTGCGAAACAAATTCTGTAATTCTGAAAATTAAAAGCAAAAGTAGGAACTTCATAAGTTTCAGCAACTCTGGACATGTAACCAGTCAGTTCAAAACAGAAAGCAGATTATGCTAAATCAAAGTTCACTTGTTAATTATGAGCATTTAGCTACGCAAGCAAATATAAATTAGTATAGTGCATGAACTCCACTAATTAATAGAATTCTCATCGAAAGGACATCATCTGGAACATCAAATCAGACAAGAAAGCAGCAGAATCAAATCAACTAATGTGCTTTACCACAGTCTGACGAAACAAAGAGAAAATGAAGATGGAAGAGGATTTCTCATTTTTTGGCATTTGCAACACTCTTGGATGCTACTAAGTCACTGAATTTGCACTTGATAAATTAATTTCCCTCATATGGAATTTCTTGTCATAGAAGCACATCTAGAGAAACCGAAAAAGATTTGCTCCACATCCTCCTCATAGCTCCCCATCCCTCCAAACAACCAAAATCATATAAAAAGTTATTTCATTAGCAAAGGCAATCCACATTGTTCTAATTTTCTAGTTTTCCACTTTAATCAGAATGACTATCAAGAATTGCTATCCTTTCTTAGCTGTCGCTAAGACGCTAAGCACTACGCATCACTATAATCAAGGTAAAGAATAAAGGCCTCTAATCATATTTTTCTCATCAGATTACAAGCAAAGAGGTGGAGCAGTCCTGCAGATCCCGCACAATGTAAAACAACAGTAACCAATTTGTAGCTTAACAAACGTACACACTAACATGGCTTCTCAAGAAAAGCTATAAGTTGAACGGAACACAATTCTTATAAGCGGATTAAATTCCAAAAGAATTCATTCTTAGAAGCATTGGATGAAAGATTTCCAGAGAAAAGAAAGACGGAAAAAATGGAGCGATCATACTACCCATACCAAGCTAAATTCACCTTGCTGTTTGATGGTCTTTCCCGAAGATAACCTTGAAACTAAGAGATCTTAAGAAACCTAACAATTCACTAAATCTTTAATTTTTGTTCCTTCTAATTGTCCCCCTTAATTTAAGTTTCCTAATCAGTAGGGACGTGTTCTCCTAGGCACCACTAACAGAGCTAGTTTGGAGAAAGGGGATTCAATTGCATTCGCCGAAAAATAATATTATGAAAATAGGGTAAAATATAGTTCTTTTTGTTAATATAAGTTGTTGAATCCCTTGACATGCGGGAAAATCCTAGTGAAGTAGCAAAGTGGTTCAAAAATTGCTTTTGATCAAAGGTTAATATCCCAGGTGTGACATTTTTGAATCCCCTTTGTATAAAATCCTGATTCAAATAGTCGATCTCAACTAATTTGACATTAAAGACAAACTCAATTGATTGATGTTAATTCTCCTAATCACTTCCTAGGTAATTCACATGATAATTATTAGCAAATAAAAACTAAAAGCAAAACTTAGAATTTTTAGGCACAATTCTAACTTACACTTCATTTCCAGTAGCTCCAACTTTTTGGCTAATACTCACAGCTTCAGCATTTCATAAAACAAGTTATGACCTTTCTAAATAAAATAGATAAAAAAAGATAGAAATGGAGAGAAGACAATCACAGTATATTTCTAACAGCAAGAAATGGACTCACCGCCGCCCGCCGTCATCCGCCGCCTCGCCGCCACTCGAGCAACAAGCTGGAGGAGATTTCGGTCTACTTGATTTGGGCTGAGATGTTGAGATTTAGAAGTTAAAATATCATCGTATAGCCAGTTTTTACACTGGTCAATGAAAAATAGCCAGCGTTTATCAAGTTAATGAAAAATAGCCATTATTTTGCTGCAACAGGACCGGTCCAGTATAATATACGGGAGTTCTGGTGCATTTGTGTACGAACTCCAGCATATTATGCTGGAACGGTATACTTTGCTAACTCCTGTAAAATTTGCGGGAGACTGGAGCACCAGTGCTCCAAACTCCAGTATATTATACTGGACAATTATACTTGCTGGAACTCCCGTAAAATTTGTGGGAGTTCCAGCATAATTATGCTTGAACTCCCGTAAAATTTGCGGGCGTATTTTTCCGGATTTTGAACAGTGTTTTCGCTCAGATTTAAAGTGGCTAAATTTCGATAACTTTTGAAACTTGGCTATTTTTCAACGACCAGTGGTAAATCTGGCTATTTTTAAATTTCTTGCGATTTAGAATAACGGATTATTATGGGCTGAGCCCAAAGTAAAACTTAATGGGCTTTTAACACATTTGATAGTTCGACCAACGCAAAGCAAAAGTTGTGAGACATGGGAAAATTTTACTCTATAGCTGCTCTCAAAATTATAGTAAAAAAATATATATATTTGTAGTATGTAAATTTTAAACACCTTAGTGGATATCGAATATAAATATTTTTTGCCGTAGGCTAAAAGTGATTTTGCTCAGGTCGTGTCGCAGCCTTTGTAGTTGAAGAGGGCGAATTCGTCAGTAGTAAAGTTATAAAATGGAATCAATTAGTTCCAACGAGTTCTTAACTTTCACTAAAGATTCTTATATACATTCCTCTATAGATATGAAAATATACAACTTTTTTATTTTTTAATGTACGTATATTATACATGTATGATATAAGGAATTAATAAAATTATTATTACTACTATATTTTAATATCACTATACAAAGAAATAACGAAATTATTTAATTAATTTAAAAGATCAAACGATAATAGAAAAAGATAATAAATTTATAAAAATTAATTGAAATTACAATTATATTTGACATCAATGTACTTTTGAAGCAATATTTCGTATTGAAGTTTCGTATCGACGTTTGCCCTAATATATAAAGCTAGAAAATAGAATGAAGTTAGAAAAGGTGTTAACTCTGATTACTATTCTCTTTGTTCCAAATAGTTATTATGTTTTGCTTCGCAACGATCAATTAATTAATCTTTGAAGTGAATTGGATTAGATTAATTTAATATTTTAAATTAAAATTTAAATATTCAAAAACATTTTAAAAAGTACTATAAATTATAATTTTCTCATACTAATACAATGGAAAAATAGATTTTGATAAATTGGTCTAAATTAAGGGGTGACAATTTGAGCCCAAACCCATTTGAGCCGCCCAAGATTGGGCTGGTTGTTGACCCGCCCATTTGTTGAACTCAACTTATCTTGACCCAACTCATTTCAGTGCATCTAAAGTTGGGCTGATTTTCAGCGCAAATTGATACATAAGTAATTTTGCTAAAATAACTTTAATTTTTGGGGAAGTTACGCCATATACCTATCTACATAGCCTCTTTACACCATATATCTTAAAGTTAAAAATCCTTAAAATAATTACTTCATATATCTTCTTTATCCAACAACCACAATTATATAGGATAATATCCCTTAAATATAGCCATAACTAGAAGTAATGAATTGAGTATTGCTATTTACCTCTCTTCTATCAAAGCCAATTACTCAAATTCATCATATTCCTAAAAAATACGTTACCTTTTGCAATACAAACTCTTCAAAGTAAGAAATTAAATATG